TTACCTTCCTAACAAAACCCTTGACATCCTTGGGACAGGACTAGCATGGTGCCGGCACCAGCACCAGTATAAAGCCATGAAGAGTTGGCCACTTGAAGGCCACGTTAACTTCTGGAAGCAACTTTGCGAAGGCAGTGATATGTGCATATATCAAATAGCCGGACCAACTTGGCTCCACAACCTGGGGACTTTTGCAACACATTTTAAAATGGACCAGAGAACCATGGACCAAGACTCATGGGATAAACATACCACCAATGCTGTGTGTAATTTATTCGGTGTCATCTCGGTTGGAACAAACGAGGAACCAAAACAAGATGCAGCTGAGCGTAACATGAGGAGTCTGATCGACCTCATTAAAGGAGGAGTTAGTGTGGCAAAGTCAACCAGATTCGTCATGGTGATTTGGCAGCGAATATCCAAAATATTTAAGCAAACTATTAAGCCTATCATCCTAAATTACGCTTCATGGTGTTTTTCCTCCAGTAACAATGCCTGATTGAATCCTAATCACCTTGTTCTGGCTGAGGTCTCTCCAGTAAGCCACAAAGATAGATGTAGGGGCACCTCATTAAATAATTGCCAAACCATTACCCCAAGCAGGCCATTTGTCCTAATGAAGACATCATTCGCTCAAATTGGTTTCTGAATAAATTCAAAGGAATCAGTCAGCAAGTCATTGTTGTACTCTGATCATAATGAGTATGATATCCATCGCTGTCCAGAAAAACCCATTAAGGGCCAGTTTTTTGCACAAGCTGGTACGCCACAATTCTGGGAGGACCTGTTTGTTACCCAATCCCCGCTAGCCTGGATAAGGTTTTCAGTCAACCAGACGATATGCACAGTTGCTGTGGCAATGGTATTCATCTGCACTCATTCCCACACGTTTCCCTGTCCAACATAAAATGCCACTCCAGTCTGAAGGCCTTTGAAACCCCATCCCCCTTTATGTTAAAAGAGTATGGCATTCTTCGGCAGAGAAAGAAATGATAATACAGTGATCTCTGGAGCTGTCCTTGATGAGAAGAGTGCATTGTATTCTTTGTCTGCCGAGCCATAATTCAGAAGCCAGTGATGTTGTTTCATTGTACATGTATTTGAACGTATTGCCCTATTGCCTGCATTTTGCACTGTGGGTTGGAATACTGGATGCAGAGTGGTATATTTGCCGTCCCCATGTAAAGATTTCTGCTAAGACGGAGCGGGAGAATTTAATGTAAGTTGGAGAACTTGCACCTGCTTGACGGGTGCTTCGTCTACCCTGCGTCGCCGGGTCCTCGCATGGTAGTATTAATGTAACATTTACATTGAATTAATGCGGCGTGTATTTGCCGAGCTACTCCAGATAAGTGGGTCCATATCTACTGGCCCGAGATGTACATACTCTAAAAAGTATCTCTCTGGATGCACATTGATCAGCGCTGGTGTTTGCATAATTTACAAAATGGCTCTTAGTAATGTCTCCGCGGAGACTACCAAGTTGATATTTGAAGATTGAAGATGAAGTCGGTTCTATTGAAATTGCAGTTTTATTGAAGTGGAGATGATATGCTCTTTAGTATTTCTAGAGGGGATTCGGGAACTTGTTGGCATAACCCTTGAATGTGTCTGTAGCTATATTGTATTACATGACCAAAGATTTGCTGTGATTCTTTTTGTTTGAATGTATATTAAAAAAAAATTGTTTTACAGTTGTTTCAATTTTCCATCACTTAATATATCCATTGTAAGAATTCAGCTTCGAAGCTGATTTCAGCTTTTTTGTTGAGATGATTACGTTGAATTTCAGCTTCTTTGTACACCGGCTCTGCACAAAATTATGGGTACTTTTTAAATTTCCCTTTTTGCCGGCTGTTTTTAAACTTTTTTGGTATGTGGTCACTCACACCTCTGTTACAGAGCTATACCCCAGTGCATGTATATGTACGCGTAGTGTGCTCCGTTATGTACATGTTATAAAGTGCTGAGGAGGTATCATTCCTCCTGTGTTCCTTCACACCCAAGTCTTAAGGCGCCTTTCCTTATGCAGTCAACTTGCGTTGCATATCTGTCAAAATCGCTCCCAGGGCTATTTTGAAGGCCAAACGCAATGCACACGTGTTATGTTAATGGAGTCGTTTTTTGTGTCTGTGAAAGTGAAACGCATGACCGCATCTTGTACGTAACGCATCCCCAAAAACGTACAGCACGTATGGAAAGGCGCCTGTATGCTATAAAAAAGTCACGTCTGCTTCTGAACTGTGATATCAGTCGATTTTGTTTTTGTGGAAATACTTGGAGTAATATTCAATCAAAAAATTGAATCAGTTTAAGATTTCCAAAAATCTTCACTGACGAAGCCAAATTGTGTGCAGTCTGAAATTGGGACAGTGTAAAATTGTTTGGAGATGTGGAATGCATTGTTGGACCGACAATACACACTGAAACAGTCTAGCAAGCCTTCAAAACAAACATTTATCCGGATTAAAGCAGTCATCAAGAAAAGGAATTTGTTTTCAGAAAGGCCTGAGTTACGAGCATTTGCACACGCATTCCAAAGTGTGCGAAGCAGGCCGTAAACAATGGTGGGGCTAGATTGTGCTGAGGCAGTAGGCGTGCTCGAGCCTTACACAGAGCATGTTACCATCGCGGCCGGCCGGCTGGCGAGGCCCCTATTGAGATGGCCAGCTGTTCCTATTGTCAGCCCTCTTCCCCTCCTCTCCCTCAACAAACCTGCCATCAGGATCCCGTCAGGATCAATAACACAGTTCCATTCTTGACAGTCCTGTATGAAAAAAAAAGAGGAAAAAAGTCTTTCCGGGCTCCTGTAATGATCGGTATAAGTGTACAGTAGCCTTTCCCCCCCCCGCCGTTATGTGCCCTATCGCCAAAAATGTAATATATAGGTAATGAACGATTTGCAAGCCTCATCCTTCATAGTGACAACTTCAATTTGTTTCTCTGGTTGTGTGAAATCGTTTCATTGACACCTTTGAATGTGAGATGCTACTCTGTCATCCTCACTGCCACAGGCATGTAATATTCTTTTCAACTGAAAGTGTACAGTCGTTGAGAACTTGAAAAGAATAAACATTTAAAAAGTACCCCCAAAAAAGGACAGAAACGGGCAGTACCATGAAAATCAAATCAAACTAGAGGCTATTTTTTCTTTTTTTCAGTCTCAGCTTCTTTTCACTCCTGGCCTTACCCGGGTCACCAGAATCGATGCCAAATGAAAATACAGACAACACCTGAACTTTGGCTCAACTCATAGGCAATGTAATATTACTGAAGTGAGAAAGTGAGCCGTGGCAATTTGGAAAGATTCAGCAGCGGACAAGATACTATTGATACTGAAGGCAAAGCCACTGTCAAAGCCGAGATTTACCTCTTATCGTTTTTTAAACTGGACTTTCTGATAGGCTATTGCTGCGTACTCAACGTAAGTAACCTATTTTTACATGGTTATACATCCAGCTGTCTTTAAAATGTCTCTATTTCACAGGGTAAATGAAGCACTACCTTAATTGTAATATTTAACATTTTGGGCATCCTTAAATGCCTCTTCGTTGATGCGGGGGAGGGGGGAGGGCTGGAAAGAAAAAAAGACATTGAAATAGAGGAGACAGGTGTTGCATGTCAAATTGTCTCCTGGCACGCTCCGAATGCCCGGTTTTGGAATTCAATATTGACACAATTGGGACATTGAACCTCAGATGCATCAGTAACTGATGCCTGAAGTTAAAGTTGCAATGCGCGTGTCTCTCTTTAAAAAAAAGAAAAATTCCTTCATACATGTATGTTATCTTGGTTGCTTGAATCCTGCCGTGGATGGGTGTGGTTCGTTGGACCCAGTTAATGCAGGATTGGTATTGATTTGAGGATAATATTGGACATCACAGGAGCACGAGTGGAACACAGAATTAATGTACACGTAGTGCGTGTGTATTCCGTGTACCATGAAGGTATATACTCGACACAGACGAACTACATTCAAGCGTGATAACGAATTTATCTTCAGTGCGCCACCTGAGCATTTTGTTTGTTGTAGAAAAATATCACAACGCATTGCATTAGAATTTGAGATGAACCGTTCAATACGTTTACATGTATATGTTTTATGTCGCACTGTTTGTTGCCGTGAACTGACCAGTCAGAATTCAGAATTCAAGTTTGCTTGAAGATAATGACTTATAAAACATTGAAGGAAAGTAATGATGAGTAGTTAGTAGTCAGACGAACCTCTGTCGTTGCTCAAGATGCCACTGTGCCAATGACATACTTAACCCCGTTGCCCAGTTGCCTGTAATTGACAGTCCAGACTCCATTGGCAATTCAATTTGATCTCCAAGTCTTTCCTGTGAGGACAAGAGAGGAGAGAGACAGAACAAAAAAGAAAAAGGTTGGTCAGTAGAGTCCACCACGTCATGCATTGGCAGCCAAGAGGTTGATTTCCAGATGTGACCGAAGCTGGTCCGTGTGCACTTCAAGCTGTGATGTGTAGGGACACTTCAGGAGTTAAAAGATTGGATCTAGTTCAGGGTGTTTGTGTGTGAAGCTGCAACTCATTGTAAACACCATGGTAATCTTTGCAGAGCTTGGTTTTGTTTGTGAATGCTTCTTGTTCCCGATACGGAGTTGGATAGGGGCTCACTGGTTCATGAACAATTCAAGTCAGTGTTGAAGTGCTGCGGTGGAGTTTGAGGATAAGCGTGTTCAACTTTATTGAAATTTGCTGGAAAGAAATCAGCTGCCAACCCTTGAATTGTTCTTCAGAGCGATGCCTTCTTGTGATTGTTTTTGTGAATTCCTTCAATGTGTCAGCATTGTGTAAGTGGAATTCAAACCCAGAGTTGAAATCCCCGTCGGTAGATTAAAATACTGGTTGTCTTCCTCTCAGTGTGAAGCAATGAAGGATTCGCGCACACCTGCATTGATTTTCTTAGCTTGTTTTCCTTTTCTTCCAAAGCTGAACTTCATTCAGTGATGCTCAAACTTTGCGTTGTTTTTCTTGGCAGGTGATCCAGGAAGCCCTCGACGACCTACGACCCGAGGTTGACCTCTTGCAGACCCGTCAGCATGACCTCCTGGTCACTGCCAGCGAGAGAGAACGTACTGCAATCTTGGAGGTGATGGAGCCGGCCGGTCAAGACTGGGACAGAGTCAACAGAGAGTACCGGGATAGGCATGGGTAGGTTGGGAGGCAACCCGTCATTAAAGGGAAAATTCAAGGACAGACCATTTCTTAACCACTAGCCCATTTTCCCTTGTAACTTGGGCACAAAAGATACCCTGTGTATCAGGCAAAAGTGAGGAGTGGTTGAACAGTAGCTGTCGCTCGAACATGCCAAAAGCTCTTTTGAATTCCCTGCTATTTACACCTCATCTATGTCAAAATTGCCCTGCATTTTCAAAGAACTAGAGTTGTGAAAATAACCAACAAGATACCGTAAACTAAAAAGTGATGCATGTGGGAAAGTTTTATTCAAAAACGCTCTGGAAGACTGTACTTGAATCTTATTTTATTGCATGTTTGTGTTGATATAAACCAGCTTCAGTCAAGTTTTGATACTTGAGAGGAAAATGAATAGTTACATTTTTAACTGCCGAGGTGCAAGAATTTGAGGCACTCAATTTAATTTGGTTCTTACGTTTTCACTGCGGAGATGCTAGAATTGGAGGCAGTCAGTTCGGTAGTTACAAACAAACCGAATTACTTGAGACAAGGGAAGTAATCAGACTCGTTTTGTGGGATACTGTCATATTTAGAGTCTCAGTCTACTCTCATGTAGATTGTTACACTGTGTGCTTTCTACAAGTCTTGCACTGAGTTGATTGTGCATTATCTACCATGGTTTTCTGATTGGCTTGCATTGTCTCCTACTCGCGCCCATGCAGGCGGTTTGAGTTGTGCCTTGAGCAGTGGCGGAAGTTCCACTGCGACATGAGGGATCTGGGCCAGTGGCTGAACCAAGCTGAGAAGATCGTCCAGGACTGTCGCAACTCCTCCGGCCGTCTGGACATCAACAAGGCCCGCACCCGACAACTGGTAGGCCTCAAACCAAGTCATTGAATAACCCTAACAGTCCTCCGTCCTCCAACAGGTGAAGGATTGAGGAGTGTTAGGGTTAGACTCAGATTCTGGTCACTGAAATTCTGTTGGACACTGCCCCCGTCATTGTTGAACTTGCAGACCCTTTCTCCTTCTTTTATTCAAGTTTTTAGTAAACACTTTTTTGAAATCTGTACACAGCCCTTTAGAGAAAGACTAGTTCTGGGTCTTAATCGGATATGGCAGTTTGTGAAAATGTGGGAGGTTTATTGTTCATTAAAAACGTCTTGACACTAGAGAAGCTTCACCCAAGATTCACAAAGCAGTGAATTCAAAGTGGTGAAAGAAAGTGTAAGTATGTTGGCGAATATCTATAGAAATGTCAAATTAGCTTTGATCCCCTTGTGAAAATATTACTGAAATAGGTATAATCAGGGATGCATATTCTTCTGCAGCTGTAGGACTTCAGGCTTTATCCGTGTAATTCAGAAATGTTTGGCAATGGGCATGTTATGTTCACTTGCCATCAATTTCCCACAAACTTGTCAGGGATCAAAACCCTGTGTGGACATCCAAAGACTATCACCAGCTACTCACGCGAATTTTTTATGGCTCTTAGAAAATGTTTTGCCTTGATTTCCCCGTTATTTCTCTTCGACAGAGTCTGGAGGAAGGCATCGCTAACCATCAAAGCATGGTCAGCTCGCTTAATAACAACGGTGAGACCATCATTGCCCAGACCTCCACCCCGGACGGCGGCATGATGAAGGACAAGCTGGACCGGCTCAACGCCCGCTGGCGGTCAGTCTGCACAGAGGTCACGTCGTGGAAGGAGAGGTGGGTGCTAGAACAAGGTGACCCGTGGTGGTCCTCAGAATGCTGTAGGCTGTTCACAGGGTGGGCAGCCGCGTCCTACATCATGGGTCTTGGATCTAGGTCTTCGGTCGTTGCCAAACATGGGCACAGGTTGACCATAGATGTGGGGAAAGTGCTGGAAGCCCATTTTGGAATGGTCCAAGAGTGAGGTTTGAGGGGTGTCAAAGTCATATCGATCTCATTTGTGTAGAAATGTTTGTTCAGCGGTGAGAATCTGTTCTTGACTTTGCCATTAGTTGCCGCAGTTTGTTGTTGTTCGTTGGTGTTATCTTCAAACCTCAGCTGCCAATTAAAAAGTGGGGACAAAGGAATGCTCTCAGTTTTTGTCCAGGGATAATTCTGCAAGATCTTTACTTAATATCTTAGACTGTCAGCCCAGTTGATTATGTATCTTTTAAGTTGCGACATTAATCTGAAAGTAATCACGCAAATCTGTGAATCTCCATTGAAAATGCGAAGAGATCCTCGTTTTTTTTGCAAGGACAGTAACAGATCTGGTGATGATGAGAATAGTTCTGTTGATTATGACACATTCTTGACATTGATACCCCTTCCAGTGACAAAGGAGCGGCCGATTACGGAGTGTTTTAATCACACTTTTTCAATCAATGACTTTGCTATCAATCACTTGCTTGTAATCAGCAAAATACTGTACAGAATTTCACACTCGGAACAATTCTGCATTGCAAAGATAATAATGAAAGACTCAATCCAGCTTTGTCAAACTGCCAGAAGACTCGACCGGTGTCCGATCCCTCGCTACTCCGATCAGCCTTTCCCTGTAGGTGTTGATTACAGGAAGCAGAGGAGCCTCATCTGTGGAAGGCAAACCCAGGGGCCCATCTTATGGAAATTCTCGCAGAAAAAAGCCACTTTGCTTGGCTTATACTTTGGGCATGAATCTGTTTGGCTGATCAGGGGTGCTTGACAAATTTCAGTTGGGTGGATTTGACTCAGTGTATGAGTACGTTTCCCGAAAAGGGGGGAAAAAAGACCCAAGGATATTCCATTTGAAATTTAATTACAGCCTGAAAATAACTTGCTGGAAGGACTCGGCCATTTCATAAAAAAAGTAGCAACACCAGTTTTACCTGTTGCATTTTTTTTTAAACAAGACGGATTGAAGTAGTAAATGAAACCTTTGTTGCTTGACATGCCATTCACTTCACTTGGTTGTTGTACACAAGTTGGCATCAGTTGCCATTGCAGCAAATAGTAGGAGCGGGTTAGCGTAGCGGTTCTTTCCTCGCTTTGCACCAATGAGGCCGGGGTTCCATACTCGCTCTGGCAGGTTTTCTCCAGGTACTCCAGTTTCCTCCTGCCTCTAAAACTGGACCTTCTTCCTAAATCAATAGGGACCCCTTTGGAAATATGTCGCAAAACTTTCATTGGCTATCCCTGGTTTTACCTTAATTGTGAGGTAATACCGAATTAATCCAATCCAATCCAATCCAATAGTGGGTGTCTATATAACATATTTGCCAACACCAGCAAAGACTAGCTAGCTGCACTGCTCTAAGTTACACAACTGTGAATTCCTAGTGGCTGCCCACAGTCAAAAGACATTTTTCCCCTCCCTGCAGGTTCCAAGATGGTGGTGAGCAGCTGGAAGCCTACCGGGAGGAGTATGAGGAGCTCCAGTCCTGGCTGGACGAGTGCCAAGGCTTGATGGAAGGTCCTCAACCAATCCCGGGCGATACCAAGTCACTGCAGGACCTTCTGGACAAGGTCAAGGTGAGCCGTCTACCGGTACACTGAGCCTGTGGCTGCATGCCTGCTGTGATGTGATTTTTGGGGTTTTAGGGTCGAGTCCATCACAGGTCCATACAAATTCATCTTAAGACTCACAGTAGACCATATTCATGTGTCGGCCATCTTGAATTGAAAGTGAGGTTAATTTTTTTGTTTTAGGAACCTGTATGTAAAAATGACAGTAATGAAACAACAAATTCATAACTTAAGAATAGAATAATTTAAAATATGGGATAATTTTAAATTGTATCTCAATATTTAGGCTACACAAAAAAAGGAAAGTGAGGCTTGTAACCTAAAATAGTCTGGCACCACTCCATTTCACATTACATTGAATGTGATTCAGGAAACAAGATAAAAGGTAGCTTCCTTTTGAAGGTCTTTTGATACATGTAAGTCCATCAGAGGTTCCATAACAATTGATCCTGTTTCATCAAGTCACAATCCACTCAGATGACCTACAGCAAAAGTATTCCTTTGTTAACGTTCAACCTGGAACTCGTCTCTCGACTTGGAAAAGAACCTTCCCGATGGACTCCACTACCACCACACAGCGTGTTTTGTACATAAGAGGGGCCATATCCACCCATATCCACTATGCTGTGGTTTTGGCAAGCTGTGAAACTATGAGTGGTTAGTGCTTCGTGGCCCCTCAACCAAACGCTGCTCCTAGTCACTGTGACCGAGCGTTGTTATCAGTTATCCTCCCATAATTGCCCAGTTGAGGGATGCTGTTGCTTTGGTACCGGTTCACGTAGCTCAGGGGAACTTGTGGGCCTTGTTTCATGTATGGATAGCTCATTCTTAGAATGGTCTCCTTAACGAACAGGAGCGAGAGAGACAGCTGCCTGCCAGACGAGACATCGGTAACCATGTCAACAAGTCTGGCCAGGGACTCCTCAGCAGCGGCACTCTCAGTGACAGTCTGGTGTCGGACATTACCATGGAGCTCAAAGAAGTCAATGCACAATTGCAAAAGGTTTGTTAAGCTTTGTTTTTGTTTGATTTTGTTGAGTTATGGACAGCTGAGGCCTGTTTATCATGGTGCAGACTGTCCAATGGAGTTCTGATGCTAGTTTGAACTCCACTGGGGAGTTACAGTGCTTGTGTCCATGAGCAAGGCAGTTTGCCAAAGTTGCATCTCGTTACTCAGAAGTGGATCTGACTGGATGTGCAAATAAATTTTTGTGGTAGACAAGATATTTCCAGTATTGCTCAAAATTGACCTTTTTGATGAAATCAAGTACCATGGAATTTTGGAACCTTTGCATAGATGAGGGCTATTTTGGACACATCCCTTATTTCTTGAATCAGCTTTCAAAAAGAGGCCTATGCACTGCTGTAGTCACATTCTGTTTACATGCACACTTTCCTCTGGAGCCAGTTGAGCCCCCTGTCCACAGAGCACCATAGGAAAGCACTTACGTAAATAGAATGGCGTCATCAGTATACGGGTCTACTGGTCTACAGTGGTCCTTATAACATCTCACCTGCGTTCATGGTCCAGTACTAGCTGTGAAGCTAGTTCCAGACTAAGCCCTGTCAACCTTTTCATATCATTGGTCCACTCCATCGTTGGGTCGTCCTCTGCGCTATCTGCTTTGTACTACACCCAAGATCCGTTCAGCTCCCGGGGGCCACCTTTGGCAAATACCGTGCTCGAAGTCTTTCCGAGTGCTATCAGCTTACAGTCAGTATTGTTTTTTGTTGGTGGTGGTCAGGTGTCGACGTCGTTGCCCAAGTACTGCCTACAGCTTGGGGAGCGTCTCCTGAACACCCGGTCCTTCCTGGAGGAGCTGGAGGAACTGGGCAAGTGGCTGGGTGCCACCATGGACCTCCTCAAGACACAGCACGGGCCCGTCGGGTCTGTCACGTCGGATGATGGAGACGATTCCATAATTGTGGACCCCAAGGTAATGCGACGGAATCTGGGTGCATTCCTTCACACATTCATCCTGTGGGCTGGGGGGGGGATTAAATCTCTTGACCTGGGAGTTCATGCAGTGGAGAAAACACAGCATCTCAACTGATGGCATTTTAGGCACCAGAATTTATCCCAAGTCCTGAAGGTATTTGGGATAGAAATCTTGCTAGAAGCGTCAGTGTACATCATTTATCAGCTACTTGCCTGTCAAGATCAGCGTTATCCACCAGGTGCAATATCCGGTAGGCTAAACAGCCTCGGAAGTCTGCCGTTAGCAGCTTTTTCAGGGTACAGTTGTGGTATTACATGGGACTGGTTTCTCAATTTAGGAACTTAATTCGGCTTCTGTTGATTGCTAAGTGTAACAAAGTGACCCCGGCTTTTGGCCCAGTTGCATTTTCCCATGTTTGGGAAGGTTTAAGGTTTATCCCAAAAACTTAGGTGGTGGCTTTTTTAGAAGTCTATTTTGCTTGTCCTACTAACCCCACAGACAATGCAACAAGCCCTCAAGGCCCGGCAGGCCAACATGGACAGCGTCAACCACACGGGCGACCGGCTGAAGCGGGAGGCGCGGGCCGTGGGGGCCGCTCTCCCAGAGCCCCTGCAGGACAAGCTCGACAAGCTCAACGGGGACTGGGCCAAGATCCAGTACCTGGCCGCCCGCCTCAAGCCCACCCCCGCCGAGTTAAGCGCAGAGCAGCGGAGGATCATGCAGAGAGCAGGTCAGTTCACGTTCTGCCGAGATGTTTTTCAGAGATGAACATTTCCAGAATGACAAACTGACTTCATTGACAAGTTGAGGCTACCACTGCAATAATGCATGCCCCTATGGAAGCTACTGGCTTGTTGCTTTAGCCACCAAATGTGTGCTACCCTCAGCTGCAGCCGTTTGATTTGAATAGACTCGGCCAGTGAGGCAGTGTTCAGATCAGAAAAAGACCAAAAGACACTGGGTCAGGGGTTGTGAATTGCAGATAGCCCCCTCTGTTGGCCACAAATGCCATGTCCTCTCTGATTCATCATCAAGTGCACTGTACTGTAGTATGAATCATTTTTATTGAAAATAAATGCAAGAATATGTGAACGTAGTCATTTTGTAAGCTGAAAAAAAAAATTCTTCTGGTTAAGATTCACGTGAGAAATGAAAATACGGCCTGTTATGAATAGTTTACACAGTTTACTGTGCCTTGTAAATGCTACAACTATAATTCCTAATTGAATTTCCTGCGTGACTGTCTTTCTTGGTTTGTCCAACTTCCCGCTCAAGCTGGGAAAAGGGGAAAGTGTCTCATGACCCTCAATGAGGCATTGAGGTCATCTGCATATTTACCCACGTAAAACATGCATGTCTAGTGATGATCATGTGCAAACAGGAGGCGTTGAACCGCATGTGATTCACAGTCAGCGTAGATTAATCATCTTCACTCGTACGTAATCAGCAAGTTTTGGGATTGTTTCGTTAAGCAGTGTGTTCCTCCGGATACGGTAGCGCAATGAGATCCCCAGCGCTGGCTGCTCTAAGGAGAGTCTTGCCCGTCCAACATGGCCGCCCTGTTTCAGTTGTTTAAAGTCCATTCCTTGTTGGTTTTCCCCGTAGTAATAACGGAGACGTCCACCGTGACCACGCGAGCCGAAGTCCAGCGGTCGGCGATGGAGACAGCGGTGGTGGAAACCACTTCCCCGTGGCCTGACTTTGACAGGGTCGTCGCAGAGCTGCGTGATTGGTTGACACTGTTGGAGCGGATGTTGCGACTGCAGACGGTTACCGTCGGCGACCTGGAGGAAATGGAGGAGATGATAGCCAAACAGAAGGTAAGACTGTTTCCTTCAAATTTGGGTTTTATCAGATGCTTCATGAATATTCATTTGGTGAGGGGTCAAAGGCCAAACCACAGCTTCATTTCCCCTGGCTAACATTAACATTAATAGCCAGTAAATTCATCAAGCTCTTTTCCCTGCCTGGTCGCAGAACTTGTTCCAAACTACCAACTAGTTGAGGTTGACAAAGAAATATCAAAAGTAGATCCATTATTGTGAAAAATCATTTAAAAATCAGAGAGTAGGATGTGACTACTCTGGTTACATTAATGCTGTTTGGGGGAAATGTCATGTATTCCATTCACACCCCATGGCATCGGAATAGCCAAACAGTTCATTTTTAGTTGCAGCTCTACCCCTTCTACAGTTAGTCAGCAGTCTTTACTTTGGAAACTGTGTTCTGAGCGATGTTAGTCTGAGCCTCCGCTCCACGGCTAGTTGACTTTTTTTTGTATTTTATTTTGATCCTCGTCATCAAGGCGACCGTGCTCCAATTTCAGTTCGGATTTTGGTTTGGCCTGCCCAGAATCAGCATTGGCTGTGTGACCTTTTCATTTTGGCAGACGTGGTTGGCATTTGGTTTGGCAGACTTTTGAGGGATTTCTGTTCTGTGCGTGGTTCTTTTGCAATCGGTTTACGCTGCTGTACATTAAGATGGTTACTTTAATGTTGATGTAATACTACCTTTTTCAGTATTAACCAGTCTGAATAAATTTGACGATCATAAATCTCATTTTTTGCGAGATGGAAGAGATTAAATTGTCCAATCCAGACATTCTCCATCTCAGCCAGGGCATTTCTACTGAGATCGAAAACAGCTTTACGGACCGAAAGTAAGCACACACCAGTGATTTCCTGCTTGGGTGCTCTCGGATCTTGTTCAGTTCAAATTTGGGACCAGTTAAGAGTCTTGCTCAAGCTTGTATCCCCATAGCTCCTTCCTGTTATGCTCGGCGAAAAGGTCCTGCTTGTAAATATAGATCTTACATACCTGTTTTGGACCCGAGATAATGATCTTGGGACCAATTTATTTTGCACGGCAAACGAACCCTGCCAGAGGGAGCCGAAAATAGATCCAATGACGGGTTGTTTGCCGAAGAAAAAAAAGGCTCCACGGAGAAGAGAAGGTGTGCATGTGCTAGTACATGCAGGTCTCACGGTTTTTACCATCAACTGTGAAAGAAGGAAGGACTTACATAGACATCAGGTTGGATGGGCGGACTGAACAACTGATGCAGTATGTACGTGCACAGTTGTATGCGGGCAGAACTGAATATTTAACCGTGGATTTTTTAAGACCTGCTAGTTTGGGTTTTGGGGTTGATCCAATCTGACGATCATCATTCAAAGCCATTTCCGAGGCGGCATCATGCTTTTGTGCACTTTGCACTTGTTCTGTGATCCACACATGTAGTTTGGGAACTCACCTACGAGCATTTACATGAAAGCAGTATTGAGTAGGAGATGCGTGCGGGTGTGATTCACCTCAGTTATAAAAATCAGGATGGCTCAATTAGCCGAAAAACAAATGTGACTTGCTGTAAAATGTGACCTACAGAACTTTAATTCCTCCCCTCCAACCCCCCTGACAAAACAAAAAACAAAAAGAGAATTGATCAGTGTGCGTAAATACCTGGATTTGCAATGAACTCGGTCTTCCAGATGTTCACATTGTTGATTCACATTTCCTCTCTCTGGTTTATAAACATCAAGTGCAGTGTCATTGCCCTAATGACCATTGCCTGTCTAATTGCTCCATCCAGAGGAAGTCCCCTTTGAAGCGCATTAATTTATGGGACCAGTGACTTGTGCAAAAAAAACCCAAAAATTAACATAGGAAATGTTTCTTCCGTTCCTTTGTTTCAGTAATTGCTAGTTCTTTGCCCAGTTGGGAGGTTAAGTTACATCTCCAGTGTGCTCTTTTTTGAGAGCTCTTGTATTTATGCTGCAAGTTGGTGGGACAAAAGGAAAAAGAACACTGGCTCGGAATTCCTAAACACATTTGAGATTGTTTTCTTTCAATAGATGAATCCTGAATTTTTGTTTTATTCAAAGAGTTCATTTCCAGCTTGTGCCCATTTCCATTGTGGAAGACGACATTTGTAAAATAAAATTCAAAGTGGTTAAGGTTTCAGTGAATCTATTTTATTCAATATATCAATATTTTCAAATAAAACTCAAAGTGGTTAAGGTTTCAGTGAATCTATTTTATTCAATATATCAATATATTCAAATAAAATTCAAAGTGGTTGAGGTTTCAGCGAATCTATTTTATTCAATATATCAATATATTCAAATAAAATTCAAAGTGGTTGAGGTTTCAGCGCATCTATTTTATTCAATTTATTCCAGATTCTATTGTCATTTAGTAAGCTGTGAAATGTGTCAGCTTTGAAATTTTTGCAATCTTTTTTGCATGCACAGCAATAGTTTGAAGTTTCACTGGAATATGTAACCTCATGCTGATTAATAATTTTGATGCAGGGGTAGGCCATTATGCATATAAAGCGTTACCATTTGCAAAGCCATCGTCATTGCACAATATACATGTATCTCCATGTGCCTTGTTAAATGTTCATTCGACAGCATCGTACCGCATTCCATTTATCATCCACGTCATCATTCACCACCATTCACCATCGTCACTCACCATTTTTAACACCGTGCCTCTCATCGGATGCAGAGCAAATTTCCCCAAACCCCCCCCCATTACAAACAAACACGGTAAATTGGCAAGTTGGGACCCGATTCGCATAAATGTTCCGATTTGGATTGCTTAAGTTGTAAGGAATAGCCCTCCCTTAGGATCCACACCCTTGGACAAGCTCATTTTTTGCAATCATTTTGTTGGACCAACACTCTAAGAAAGTGACACAAGTTTTCATGTTTTGTAGGAGCAACAAAGGAATGCAAAAGAATTTCTGCAGTGATTTGATTCATTCCCATCTCAGTGACCGTACATGGAGATAATTGAAATGAGCTTTTGAATGTTTGAAATGATAGATTTTGTGCTAATCTTTTTCTATCTCTGTAAAGATTTGATTTTTACTGCATCTTTGTAACAATCAGAATTATGAATCTCTTTTTTAAATTTGAAACTGTGTTACTTTTAAAATCAACTTCTTCCCCAAAAAGTTAATGGTGTGAAAAACATCAATCAAGAAAATTAACATTCAGGTTGGAAGTTAAAAAGGTGTATTGCTTTTCTTTTTTTCTGTCTCTGTATTTCTCTCCAATTTTTTTTCCTTATCCCTTCGTTACCACCAGGAGATCTGGTCGGGGGTGCTGCCTTTATTTTCTGCCCTGGCCCCCAGCGACAGGCAGCTCATAGGGGGTCTGGTGGTAGATATTGTCACCATGCTAGTACAGCTAGAGGTCGGTTGGTTTGTTTGCTGTCTTCTTTCCAGTCAGTGTTGCTTGGCAACGTGGCATCCCAGCACACTTTGTTTGTCGTTTTTCTTTTGAAATGGTTAAATCGGCGGGCAACTTCACACATCAATCCAGGAAATAGGGAACAAAATCAAGCTGCAAAAGTGAGAAAGGGATTCTAAAGGTGAAGGACATCGCACTGAAAGAATAATATCGCAGTATTCGTGGTGTATTCCTCGTGTTTCGGACTATCTGCTAATCTCAAGTTATCGCCGGTTATCTTTGTATGCTAACACTCAATATAGATACATTGCATTACTGGGATAACCATTCTGTGAACTATTACTAATCCATGCTGGAATGTGTTGATAACCGTGCTTGACTTTACAGATTAGAAAAAAAGTAGGATACTTTGCTTGCGTAGACATCAAGTTGAGGTTATATTTGCCTTTTTTTAATAATACATGTGGTAGAATTCTAAAGAAAGGCTTATTAATTTTTTTGCATCATGGGGATGCTCATTCACAAAAAGAGCGATTCTTATCTTGCATGGTTTGTTCGATTGCACTGTTCGTGGGGCACATGCACATCCACCGTACACTCACACAAGTCTGTTCCATGCACATTTCTGCCTGCCTATTGACCAATAATTGAAGGCGTTACCCGGTACTCTTGCACACCTGGTGACCAGACTGAAAGGTGTTGCTATCTGGATTGCAAAGCCAAGTTCACTGTACCAGTACATCCTAAGCTTCAATGTTTATTTTTCACAAAATTTTTTCGGTGAGAGAGAGCAAAGCGAATAAATGCTTGATTCCCAACACCTTCATCAGAGAACATTGGAAAAAATCCATTTCTTATGGAGTAGCACCTGTTATTTTTCGATCTGAACACATCCATGAAAGAAATGGATGATGCAACACTTTAACGTTTGTGCTTTCCTATGGTGTTCAGACTACTCAGTGGACCTTTGGCCGCCATTCGCTCCTTAAGAAAGAGCACATGTAAACAAGGTGTGTCATTATGATTACATAGGCTTACTGATTCCATGGATGACAGAGTAGTAAAAATGGAATTGCGAAGGGGGAGGGGAGGCAGCTATAACAATCCTATTAATACCAAAACCTTCCAGAAAATTGTCTGAAAAGATTGAGAAAGAGAGTCTGGGCTCATTGGCAGTTTGTGCATGGAGCAGATATTGCATGCCGTACGTATCATGGTCACTTCATCTGCACTCACGGCACGATTTTAATTCTTGCACCGTGGTTGATCATGGCGAAGCATTGCCAGGGATGTCTGATTACATTTTAGAGGCGTAACCCACAGATCAGATTAAACCGGAATGAGCTGCATGTTAAGGTCTCATGTAGAATAACGATTGTAGCCTCAAAATTAACTCTTGCAGTAGGAATCTTGGTAGAAACTGATTCTTTTGCAACTTTTTGTAGCTTTGCCTTGGAAAGAACAAAAAAAAAAACTAATACGTGATCACATTTCCGCAGTTGAAGAGCAGTTCTTTGATTTTCCTCCCAACTTTGACATCATGAAGGATGCAATCAGGAAATGAAACTCTGCAGCTCTCTTACGAGATAGTCAGAAAGTTTCTCATAGATGTTTTGGAGCCTGTGTGTTGGGTCATTGACCAATTCATCACTTTTCTTGCAGTCCATTGGCGGCCTTTTTTTTTTAAACCAGGCTCAACCATCGAGCGTGCACAGAAGATTCCTTAGCAGATTGCAAATAATATTGTGGCTGCCCATATATTGCCGCGTCTCCGATAACATCAAAGGAGTGCCCAAAAATCAATGGGATGGAGATCTCTCTGCACATTTAAAGTAAACAAGGATTGCAGATTGAATATTAAAGGAAAGGTTGACCGGGCAGGCAGCTTGCTTCTGTAATCTTTCCTCAAGTCTCACTTCAGGCCGAAGTACCAGTGTAGATCTTCGTTGATATTTACCAGTTCTTCATGACTTGACAGTCTTCTTAGTTGGTGCGTAATTTTTAATGCATGCATGTTGAGGAACGAGATGGTACAGTTCAAGTTGCTAGAAGCAGTGCTATGGTGACAGTGTACTAAGCATGGACATTTATGTCAGTGATGCCGGGTTTTTGTCATCTAGGTTTTGAACTTTTTTAATGCGGCTGTGAAGGGAGCAGTGTTGAGGGTGGGGCCTCCCTTCCCTCCCCGAAGCTACTGAAGCTGCACCATTTATAGCATTGAGCCCTTTAAAGTTGTTGTAACATAATTTCATTGTCTTGGGGGATGTTTCATTTTGTCTTGGTGTAGGAATTTGCAGGTGCACTGCTGTGGCATTTTTTTTGGGCTTCCAAAAGCTGTTTTTTTTTTAAATCTCCTCAGATTAGCGAAGTGCTGGTGTGCTAGATTGTGCAAACTCATCTTTTCCACTCAGTGTGATGAGGCAATTTGCTAGTTACCTGCCGTGGGTCATATTCATTGGGAAACATTGGCACGAACCGTAGTCATAAAGTCAAAAGTTTGTCAGTTGAAATTCCTGCATATAATAATAATCTTGCCCGACAAGTACCACGAGTACTTTTTGGTGTAGAATAGTTTCTTCACATATTAAGCATAGTGAGTAGTCATTTTCCCTTGTTGGAAGGCGGATATACAGTGTACATGTACATGCCGTATTTTCAGCTCTCTACACATGGTTGACATACAGTATCGTTGAGTGTTCAGTTGAGTAGCTGCTGTCCAGTTTTCTATTCTTGCTTGGTACTGTTCTTTTCCTGTACATAGAGCATTAAGCTTGTAGATAAAAGAGACTGACATGTAACCGTGTAAGCAATCTGTTTAATCTGGTGTTTATGTGATTTCCAGATAGCCGCTGTGGAGAATGGATTTCTTTTCATTCCTAGAAAGTCTCACTTGCAAACTGACAGTCTCAGACTACGAAAATGCATACTTCCATAATGCATCTAGTCCAGTAGTAATAATATCTGTAGATTTATACAGCACACTTATCCGTAAAACCAATCAAGGTGCAATCCATTATTGCTCTGTAGATGCCGCATCATTATTACCCCTGGTCAGCAGGCCTGTATAGCATTCCTAAGATGATCTCAGTTATTAGAGGAGTGTGTTAGCGCCCCCGTTCCAGCATTAATGACTCTTTGAAACAAAACAACACCTGTCAGACCTCGTAGGCACCTGTGCACCCCTGGGTGGAGGGAAGCAGCTTGTGGTGATGTGTGTTGCCCGTGGACACATGTCCTTTAGCCCCTCTCCCCCAGTCTTTGAACCCACGTTATCTTGAATGTGATGCAAAAACTGCAAGGCCACATCATTCCCTTCCAAAAGTCTGGGAGATAAAAGCCCAGAGGTTTTGAATAACATTCAAAGACGTAGTCTGGTTTTTTCTAATGTAGCTGATTGTTGCCAATTGAAAACAGAAAAGCTGCCATTTGCTCAAATGGGAAGAACTAATAGCAGCTAGCTGAGCTGGATTGGTGGAAAGAAGTCT